TGTTATGGAAGTCACCACTAAGAAAAAAATCTGTGGACAGTAAACAATGACTCTCAAAATTGTCCACTGAGGTCTGTACCAGAAATATTATTTATTCATTCCATTACTCATTAGATACTCTCAGGGGTGTTCAATCTCCCATACTCCCAGCTGTGACTCTTGCTTGTCTTTTGGTATTCTGTCAGAGAAGTCCTGGGGCATAGGTAAGACTCCAGGTGGGAATTAGAGGTGAAGCTGACAGGATGTGACGAGGCAACAGAGGCATCTCACGTGTCTGTTTTCATCAATTTGGGACAGGGATTTAGGCTGTTTAGTTCACTGCCATAACTCTAGCACCCAGAATTATGCCTATATGTGCAAGTTCTCATTGTTAAATGCATGCATGAATAAATGAATGAATGAATTCTTTACCAATTTCCCCCTTTCTCTCCTATCTGTTCAACTTACCCCAATATACTCTCTTCCTTCCACTGAATTTGTGTGTAAGATAAAGATAACTGTCTTATTAAAAAGTCTTTCCTTGATCCTTGTAGCTTAGCTGGAATTTTTTGAGAAATAATCTAAATATTCCGTACTCACTATCTTTTCTTGTTCATTTCTTAACCAACGCCATCTATCCTTCAACCCACTGACTCCAGCCCTTACTCTAGAGAGGTGGCCCGCTATCCCCAGAAGCAGAAATCACCAATGAACTCTGTACTGATGAATGGACACTTTCTGTCTGAAATATTATTATTGGGCTTTTTTGTTTTATATGGCCCCATTGACCACTTATTTCTTCTTGACTGCTTTTTCTATTATAGTCCCTCATTCCTTGAAATTCTTTCCTGACTATTTCATAATAGCCTTTGTCACAGTCTTCTTCTCATCTTCCAGCCATTCCTAACATGCTTGCTTTCCCTTGCCCATTCCTTTCCACTCTCCTTTGGATGCTTCCTTCTTTTCCTGGTGAGCTCATTCACTCTTGTGGTTTTAATTATCCCTTATGTGCTGCAGAATTGCAAGTCTCCACTTTAAACCCTGATGGCTGAGCTGAGAACAGGATTTTATGAACAAATTTAAGGCAATCTGTCTGAGACATAAATGAGACAAATGATTTAAAATGCACGTTAATGGTATAATTTGGAGATTTTCCATAGTTTTCCATTTTTATAGCTTAAATGTATGATATTAATTATTAAATACAATAATTTTCTACAGAAATTATCAATCATAAAGGCAACTCTGATGAAAGAAATGTCTACCAATTTTATGTGGAGATATGATCTTTAGAATTTAGTAGTATCAAATCACAAAAATCAAGGGTCCAATTCATCACAGATATTCAGCTTTAAAAGACAGAGCTGAAGATTGTATTTAGGTTTGTAAAATATTGGAATCAATTAACCAAAACAGAAAATTTGGAAGAATTGGGAAAATTTTCCACAGAAACTTCTTCCATTTCGACAGTTGCACATGAGTAATAGTTATGTGGTTATATAAGCAGCTAACTTCATGCAGGTTTTCATGAAATACATTGTATGGACAAAGTTCAAGGAAAGAGTTTCTTAGGCAGAGAATTAAACAGCTAGTGTAATTGAATTGAACGTTAGCTATCTCTAAGTTCGTTTGAAAAATGAAGCTCATTAATATTCATATATTTCATGTTCATTGACAATAC